AATTCGAGTTGAGATGTAATTTTATGTGAGATTTTTTTACTGTAGTAGAAAAAGTTAAATGTAACTTTTTGTGAAAACTTTTAACTGTGTGAAATGAACAATGCAAAAATTTTTCAAAAATCTGACTATTCATAAATGTATTTTTTTTTTTTATCATATGCTATTGTAGAAATCTCTCAAACCTAAATTAATAAATATCTGTTTAGTTTATGAGTTCAATTCAGTTATTTTGATTTATTAACGAGAATTGTACGAGAAATTTTTTTTTTGAAAGTAAACGGAACCTAAATAATAAAAGCTAGAAAATATTAGTAATAACAAACAAGCATGCAGATTTTGCAGTGCATAGAATTTACACCCCTAAAACAATGATCGAATATTTTTCTTCTCATCACGCAAAACCTTAACGTATAGTACTCTCGTACGTACACATAAAAATTTCCCATCTCTCTCTCTCTCTCTCTCTCTCTCTCTCTCTCTCTCTCTCTCTCTCTCTCTCTCTCTCTCTCTCTCTCTCTCTCTCTCTCTCTCTCTCTCTCTCTCTCTCTCTCTCTCTCTCTCTCTCTCTCTCTCTCTCTCTCTCTCTCTCTCACATTGTCATATACTGGTAGCTCCATCAAATATTTTTCCCCTACAGTTTCCACATCAAACCCATAAAATCATATCAGCACGCCTCTCTCTTTCTGCCCCCACACATCTTTCACCCCTCTCCCCCATTCTTTCAACATCAAATAAAACCCTTTCCCTCTCCCTCTCTCTGTCTCTCTCTTTCTCTCTCTCTAAACCAAAAAAAAAAAGAAAAAAGAAAAGAGAGAAGCCCATAAAACCTCTTCTAGTCTTCAGACTTTCCAGAAACTTATGAGAAGCCCATAATACCTCTTCTAGTCTTCAGACCTTCCAGAAACTTATACATACTTTAGCTCTTGGAGAGCTCAACAAAAACCCATCTCTCTCTCTTTCATAAACATGGACAACAATATTAACACTTCTCTCTCATCAACACCACAAAAACCCCATTACATCCCCGAATTCTACAACCACTACTACCCCCACAACCCTCAAGAACAACAACAACAACAACAACAACCCTCCCCCATGTCCACCTCTACGTACTCTTTCAACCTAAACCAAGACGAAAACGACAACACCGACGAAACCGACCAAACCTACGAACGACAACAACAACAACAGCAAGAAGAAAACGACGTCATCGACGACGATAAGGAGCCGATGTTCGAGAAGCCGTTGACTCCAAGCGATGTCGGGAAGCTCAACCGCCTCGTGATTCCCAAACAGCACGCCGAGAAGTACTTCCCACTCGGCGGCGGCGGCGGCGACTCGGGGCTGCTACTGAGTTTCGAGGACGAGTCGGGGAAGTTCTGGCGGTTCCGCTACTCCTACTGGAACAGCAGTCAAAGCTACGTGTTGACCAAGGGTTGGAGCCGTTACGTCAAGGAGAAGAGGCTCGACGCCGGCGACGTCGTTTTGTTCGAACGACATAGGAGGGACGGAGATAGGCTGTTTATCGGGTGGAGGCGCCGCTCGGACTCGGCGCAGGATTGCGGCGGAGGAGGACAGGTGGCGGCGCAGGTTAGTGGTGGTAGTAGTAATAGGGGGTTTTATTCTGCGCCGCATCCTTATCCTGCGCCGCATCATCACCATTATCAACACCATCATCATCATCACCATATTCCTGCTACGCCATACCAACCTGACTATATTCATGCGGGTAATATTCGTGTTCACTTTCCAACCCTATCTCTTCAAATAAAAAAAAAATCGAATTTATAATTATAATTTTTTGTTTTTGTTTTTGTTTTTTTTTCTTGAGTATATACGCACATGAAAGTGCGTGTCAAACACCTTCCTATGAATTTGGAGGATTGATGTTTCACCATTGTTTGTAAAGAAATTAAACACACGCGCTTTTTTTTATTTTTATTTTTTTTTAAACCGTGATCAGAAGTAAAGAAGAGTTTCATGATATGCTTTGCGTTTTGTCTTGTTTTTTGTATTTTTTTTTTTTTAACTTTTGGCTGGCCAGAAAAGGGGTTTTTTACATGCACGTGTTGCATTGTTTTACATAGGAATATCTTCTCCTGCTGAGAATAACCAAACGACGACGGTTGTGAACAACAACAACAGCAACAGCAGTAACTCATCAAAGATTCTGAGGCTTTTTGGGGTGAACTTGGAGTGCCAATTAGCTGACCATGAGTCCAACCCGTCGACACCGGACGGCTCGTCTTTGTCGAGCCATGGTCCGCCACCACCACCCCACCACAACTTCTACCCTCATGCTTATCATTCAGAATATCATCACATGGTAATCCAGCTATCAATATTATCATATTGTTCATTATATATATATATATATTGTTGTTACATTATTAATATAATAAGAGAAAATGTGGCACATGGTATAAAGTATATTTTAACACATTTAGATAATGTTGAACAATGAACAGAGAAAGAGTAGGTATATGTAGTACATAAATCTTAGGGGTGTGAAGAAGATTTTGAGTTCTAGGAAATTGCATACGGTCTCCTTTCTTCCCAACAATGTGGGTTCATGAAATTCAGGTCCATTGTTAATATATAGAGCCTAAATGATTGAATTCTAAAGTTAGTACATTTTCAATGTCTTGGGGATTACACAATCTAAACTGTGTATGGGGATGATGACCAAATTGGTGGGTTTTTGATTAGTGGGCCCGTATGGCCAGAAAATTAGCCACACACCCACATACATGATATATATTTGAGAGGAAAAAAAAAAAAAAAAATATATATATATATATATATATTGAGGGTCAACAAAGTTGGACAATTTGGACAAAAGAAGCATCTTTTCCAGCCTTGATTTAGCCCTAAAAAGCAGCATCCGGGACCAAAACCGAACTCGACCCAATTACGGTCAGTTTGGTTTGGTTTTAGTTGATTTCAAATGTGAAAGTTGAAACCTCAACAAGGGCACATAGTGAGGGCACTATTTGGTGGGGGTAGGACTGGTGGGGTTAGCTTATTATCTTAGAATTAGGTCCGCTGTAAATAATGGAGGTGAGAGACAAAATGACACTAATGATTTTTTTTTTTTCTGAACATAACAAAATAATTATAAAAATGTTTTATTATACTTTTTTAAAAAATTTAAATCGGTAAAATGAACAAAATTTTATTAGTGGCCAAGTGGTTATAAATAAAAGAGACAATGGCATGTGGATTTATTGAGAGGAAAGCAAATGATAGTCCTTTTTAACACTAGTTATTATTGAAAGGGGGGTTCTAATTGAATTGATGGTCAACTTGACGGTGGCATAGTTAGGCATGTGGTGCAACATTTGGAAACTGACATTTTTATTGTTGTTATTTTATTATTTATTTATTTTTTGTGGGTGTGTTGTTTCCCAAACTTTTTTTCTTTCTTCTTTTAAAAGGCAGTGATAATTACACGGTGTTTGTTATTGAAGCAGGATTTCACTTTATCCCGAGATGTCAAACCCATGAGAAATCGCCGAGGATAGAGATCTGTGGATGTGACGTCCTTGGATTGACTAATACTTTTACAAGCCCACTTGGAATTCCCCCAACAAAATAAATGTACATCTGAAAGAAAGAAAGAAAAAAATCCAAAAAAAAAAAAAAATTGAAAAAAAGAGAAAGAAAAAAAAGAAAAATCCCACATTTTATGGCCAAGTTTGATAGCCAGGAGAGAAGGGGAAACCTAACCGAAGGTGCAAAAGAGGGAGATGGAGTGGTGGGGAGGGGGAAAAGGACTGGCAGAGTGGTCTATACAAGTGGGTCCAAGAGAAAAAGGGCCCCCAAAAAAAAAAAAAGAAAAAAAGAAGCAAAATGCTGACGTCATCAAATGGAAAATTGGGTGAAATGAAATTTTGGGTCGTTGAAAAATCAGGAATGAGGAATCTTTTTTTTTTATTATTATTATTTTAATGCATTTTGCAACTGCTGAGATTCTGCCCGAAGATTTTCCATAGAGGCTCATCATAATAATGGAAGGAAGAAGGGACTAGTGAGTAGTGTAGTGAGTGAGGCATGGCATGGCATGGTGGGTGGGTTGGTGGGTTGAATAGATGTGTGACAGCCCTTGCTCTCTCTCTCTCTCTCCTTGTACTACACAAAGCCCACTCCTTCATTTATCTCTCTCTCTCTCTAGTTTTTTTTTTTTTTTTTTTTAAATATTATCTTCTAATTCTATTGAATATATACTCTTCCTCTTCAATCCCTTATAACCCATTAGATGTTAGAGATTGGCTAAGCTTTTTTTGTTTTTTTTTGTTTTTTTAATTATTCTATCTTTGCTTAGAGTTTTGGAATAATGAGAAACATGAAAAGTCTAAAAGAGCTTTTCAACATTTTGCAAGTTTCAACTTCTTCCAACTCAGAATGGACAGATGAAGATGGAATGGAAGTTAGAATTTGATCAAGTTATAGAATTGCTAATGTGAAAATAGAAAAAAAATAATAATAATAATGATGGAAGTTCTAAATTTTATCTCAACATTAAGAGCCAATGTCGTGACACGTACCATTCTTAAATTCCTAGGTGTTTAAAATTTTATTATGTCAATTAAAATTGAAAAATCACATTTCATAATAACAAAAAAAAAAAAAAAAAAAACAACGAAAATTCACCCATAACATGAATTTGAATTAAAAGTTGGATGTAGTACTACTACTCAAACAGGAACAGATATATATATATATATATATATATATATATGTATATATACACACACACACACGCAATTATATAAATTATAAATAGAATAATACATTTGAAATCCAAGAGAATTGAAAAACGGAACTCTTAAGAGGATAAATGATGCCGTTGGTAAGATGATACAAAAGAAATTTAAGATGGCAACAGTAATGAGCTGTCTCTATGTTAATAGAGACAAAGAGGTTTTATTCAAGCTGTTTAGAGGCTTATGTATTGATGGCATTGTTTTCTAACGCGGATGAGACAAGCCGATAAAATAATAAGGCGTTCAACCTTATCTAAATTCTGAACCAGAAATTGGGAAATCCATTGTAAATACAGCTTGGAAGACACAAGGTAAATAGTTGGAGATCATGTCAGAACAGATAAAAAAAACAAATGAAAACAAAACACCAACTACGTGCCCAGAGATTGTATTTTTGTTTTGTTTTTTTTTTTTTTTTTTTTTTTTTTTTTTTTTTTTGAGAAATAAAATTTTCCATCATTTGGGAAAATGAGTTTTCAAAGAAAGCATGAAAATGAGCTTGAAATATAATGCCAAAATGGATGTGATTGGGATGAGGCGAAAATCATTGAAGAGACTTTGTAATGATCATGATTGAGTAGGCTGCAAGTTGTTAAGACATGCATTTCCATAAAAAAATAATAAAAAAAAAAAGTTGTTATACATAATAGTACCATGTAATCTAGAAAAAAACAGCAGGTGAATTAGGCATTACAATGAATCAGTGATTGACTATGTCTCGTTTTACCTACGTAGTGCGCAATTAACTAACTAAATACTACATAATACATATAGTATTATTAAATTTATCAATTTTACCAAAATATAGAGAACCATATGAGTATTAAATTTATCAATTTATCAAAATATAGAGAACTATATGATAAGAGTATGAAAAAAAATTATACCAATAAAGTACAGTTCTGAATCGTCAGATTATCATTGAGTTCAATTTAATTGTCATAATTTTTTTAATTTGATATGATTTTGATATCATCTCGTAGTTAAAAATTGTATTCTATCAATTGAATTTTTCTTTTTACATATCCTACCGTTGACTCCTTACATATTACCTGATCAAAGGAAAGAGTAAAATAAATAGATAAATTAATAATCCACAAGAATGATCGAGAAACTCAAGCTTCCAACATAAATGTGTAGCAAGTTCTTAGTCATTCATTAGCTCAGGAGTTTATAGCAACATCAGATACGACAAACTAATCATGTAAAATGTATGGGAATCCATTGAATAGGCTAAACTATGCTGTTTTCAACACCCTGGTTATAGACTTTGCACAAATAGCAAACAGGAAAAAACTAACAATAATTATGCTCATAGTCATACAAAGTGCATTGCAATCGCAACGTGTCAATCAAGACCTACTTTATGGACTGTTAGAATCAATTAGCGCAGCCTAGATGGGAGCCATAATAGCAATGGCAAAGATATGATGATTAGATACATATATATATATATATATATATATAGAGATATATATATATATATATATAGAGAGAGAGAGAGAGAGAGAGAGAGAGAGAGAGAGAGAGAGAGAGAGAGAGAGAGAGAGAGAGAGAGAGAGGAGAGAGGGTATCTAAATCAAAGTGACTTAACAACACTGCTAGGACAAGATCAATCTGTGCAAGTACTGCTACAAGCTCATTCCTTGTTATATCAACATTATTGTTGCATACAAGTTGCAAAAACATGTGCATAGGAATTAAGGGGGGAGAGAAAAGAAATGCAGAATAATATGATTTGTTCATGTGATTATGAGGGTCCCATAAAAGATTGAGACAAGAGGCGGTACCCAATTTGACTCTCACAGTACTGGAAATGGCGTCCAATGTTCAGTGGCTCACCAGCTCTGAAAGTGGGGGAAGAGGGTCCCCAGATATATATGTTGCTATCATGCCTCAAACATAGTGGCCAATCAAACAAGCGAAAGGTCTCTTCCTGTATATTAGGTTTGTTCTGCTGAGAATAATTTCAATAATGCATGACTTACAACAGTACAATAATAGAAACTTCATGTGGGAATTTTTTCTTCATACCACTTAGCTTCCCCCCCCCCCCCCCCCGGAATTGTTTTTTCTACCCCCTTGCCCCCCCCCCCCCCCCCTTGCAGGCTTTATTGCTTTAGAGCTCTGGGGTCAACCTTCTCAACTCACTTTATACCAACCAGAGGAATTAACCAAAAACAAATAAATAAATAAAGAGAACCATTTTTTTTTTGTTAAACTTGAATCTCTGGAGGTAAAAGGACAAGCAGTGCGATTGGTATCAGAAGGAGCTAAACGGACGCAAAATTTCATTCACATAACGAAAATCGAAGTACCTCTTGTTTTTGGGCTGGAGATGCTGGTAATCTAATTACATGAAAGACAATTGGAAAGCACCAGAAACCAATTAATAAACCTTACACTAAAATATCCTGCCTCTTATTTGGAAACGAAATTCCATCCAACAGTAGGAATATATTTGATGAAAAGGCAATCCGGATTCGTTGATCCCGAGGGCCCATCACTGATTTACACAAGATAAGGTGCTAGTGGTTATGATCTTTGGATTATGAATGTTACCATGTCTCCTGGGAAGACTTAAAGCAAGAACCATGTGCTTGAAAAGACTTGGAGCATAACTCAGCCATGAGGCAAATTATGATATGTGGAAACCCCACCAATGGTATCAACTACACAAAGAAGCCCACAAAATAGTCTCTAGAAGAAAATTCTTCCCTGAAATAGTAACTGTGATGGTACCTGATGATCGTTTTTCTCCATCCAACAGCGCAAGCTTTCAAAGGTAAGTGTTTTCTCTGCATTTGAGAGATGACAACTTTATTAGCCGAAAGTAAGAAAAGTTATTCACACTTGTTTCACCCTTCCAGATGTGCAAGTCATTTTCAGTTTTCTCTTCCCAGCCTGTAGTTCATCTATAAGAGAATTTTACCTTGAATTTTATGTCACAAGCTGTCAACCACATGTACCTTTTTCAAAAGGGGAAAAAAAGGCCTGTCTGGTCCAATCACATGTAGTTGATTTAATTCCAAGCAAATGATTAAAA